CGCAGTTAGTCAGCAGACCTTGACCCAGCCGCAAACTCTGTAAGTCACGATACAAGTTGGAGGTTTCGCATGCTTCGCAAACCTAAAACCTTATTGGCACTCATGGAGTGATTCGCCTTGTAAGAAGAAGAAAAGAAGGTGGCGTAGCGTAGAGCGGACCCACAACAAAGCGACATAACCTGGTCGCGAAACCCTTCCAAATAGAGGCTTTGGAGCTGTTATCGGATATATTTCTATTGATTGTACGCTAGAACAGATTTAAAAGTAATTTGAAAGACATTATTTGGAATATTAACGCAATTCTAAGATTCATCTTTCTGCTTTGTTGTGGGTCCGCGCTACGCTACGCCACCATCTTCTTTTCTTCTTCTTACTAGGCGAATCGCTCAATGAGAATCCAAGGGGGTATAATCAAATCTGCAAGGGTGCATTTAGCCTATGGTGAGGCGTGAGGCGGTTCCGGCCGAGCCGGCGTGGGGTGAGGACGCCTTCACGTCGCTCCGTCTTCTGCTTCGCATTTTGTTTAATCGCAGCTTTCCGAGTCGAATTTAGTACCAGTGAATCGGCGTTGTGCCCGCGAGTGTCTGTGCAAAGTGCTGTGTCGATCGTTTGTGGTATTCGCGAGTTATCAGTGATTTTCCGTTTCGCCCTTGTCCCACACGCTGGGCGTCATCTGGAGTGCGCAGCTGAGGGGTGAGGGGCCCGGCGGGCGGGGCCCGCCCAACGAGCCCCAAAATTTTACGGAACGGCGGCGCAGCTCAGCAACCCCGCCGCAGCAGCCCCTTTGGAAACTGGATTGCAGTGTTTCAGCGTTCAGTGTAGTGTCCAAGTGAGTAGTGCAGCGTCCAAGTCGTCACAGCAGCGTCCCGGTGGCCATCCTATCGTCCACATCTGCAGTGCAGGAGCTGCTCAAGTGTCTTGACGCGCAGCTCTTAGCGCCCGGGGTGCCCTGGTGCAGTGTGCGAGAAGGTGTGGTGTCCAATAGTGCCCCTTCCCTACCTGCGTTGAGCCCGTGCTACCCGGTACCAGCGGTTTGGCCTTCCCTCTGACGTCACTGGTGCTG